TCACTAATAGTTGGGTAATTAAGTTATCTACTCACACAGGTTAACATAGTCTGTTAAAGATCTTGTTGAAAGCTAACGTTATGGTTTGTAATGAAACGAATCCCAATCCTCAATCGTGAATGAATCAGGAGTGGCCGAGACGAAACCTGTTAGATATTGCAGAAGGTTGTTTTCCTTGCAGGAGCGTCACACAGGGACGTGTGACGTGTCAGAATGGCCGTGTCGTGGATAACGACTTTTAGTAATATTAAGACGGTGGTTTTGATTATTATATTAAATGATGAAATGTTGTTTTGATAAATATCACAAAAATGAAGGGTAGACTCCGTAACGCCACAGTATAAAATGGCGGTACGTGGACAGAGTCGTGGCATTCCGTGTCAGACAGTAATTCCGTCCGTCTCAGTCAGTGAGTCTCTGTCAGTCAGTCAGTCGGTCAGTCGGTCTGTCGGTATATGCAACGAAACTGTCGGTTTACCCTGTCATTGTGAAAGTTGTGTGTGTTGAGTTTCAATAATTATTATTGAAAAGTTTTATTGACTAAACTGAGTTCAATCGAATACGAGCGATGACGGAACCTACCGCTCAGCCATCCCTGACGCCTGCCGACATATATATAATTTGCGTAATTAATGTTAGTAGCACCTCTTGTGAGTAGGCGCAGTTAGGTACCACCACCCCTGCCTATTTTTGCCGCGAAGCAGTAAAGCGTTTCGGTTTGAAGGGTGGGGCAGCCGTTGTAACTATACTTTAGACCTTAGAACTTATATCTCAAGGTGGGTGGCGGCATTTACGCTGTACATTTCTATGGGCCCCAGTAATGATTCAACACCAGGTGGGCTGTGAGCTCGTCCACCCATCAAGGGAATGGTCCCATTCAATTTCTATGAGTCACACTAGAATTGCACTGCAGATATTTGAAAGTCCTTGACTAGGACCTACTGAACTACTAAGTAATGTTAAAATATCAATTTTTAATGAATTGATCATGACTCTTCATTCCAATGACCATATAATCCAGAACATCTTAAAATTTGTACTAACAAAATAAGTTGACTCATGATATTATTAATACCATTAGAATTTGTTCATACAAAACAGTTCCCTTGTTTGAGATGATACCATTATCTCGTTTTTACCATCGCACCGCCCGCCACCGGAGTAGATTTCATCCATACTACCTGGAGCCACTGCGTTCATCCACGGTGCGTTTCCAGAGATAATTTTTTTCACGTACCATCCGGCTTTGGAATGAGCTCCCCTCCACCAGTGTTACGGCCCACCTAATGGTGAGTGGTTACCGTCACCCATGGACGTCAGCAATGCCAGGCACAGAGCCAAGCCGCTGCCTACCGCTTAATACACTCCACAAGCTTCGTTTGAAGAAGGACATGTCATAGCGCTCGGGTAACACCGTGGAGGCGAGCTCATTCCATAGCAGGATGATACGTGGCAAAAAAGACCTCTGGAAACGCACTGCGGATGAACGCTGTGGCTCCAGGTAGTATGGATGAACACTGCTCCGGTAGCGGGCGGTGCGATGGTAAAAACAAGAAGAATGCGAGGCCGTATGCTTGTCTGCCTAAAAAAATCATTAAACTTACTTAATTAAACAAAATATTTAAACTCTAAACTGAACTTACTAACAATATTTTCGTTGGTGTCCAAAATAAAACAAAAACAATCAGTCAGGTAGTTTCAAATCCTCTTCAGATGCACTTGACCTTGATTGTACCTTCATAAATCAGATCTTTTAAAGATTTTGTTTTTTGTTCCTTTGCCAAGGCAAGTTTTTGATCTCAGTCAAGTTTATTTATAACAACACTGCCTATACTTTACATATCAAAGCTTTATAATTAAAGTTTGGGCTGTGAGGATTTGGTAGTATGACTAGGTTTCTTTCGAAATAAAGTTTTAAGCCCTAAGTAATGCTTGCTTTTACAATTCAAGATAATTGGTTCAATAATCTATGCATAATAAACAAAAAGCAGTTTTTCTATACTATAATATTATAAAGAGGAAAGATTTGTTTGTTTGTATTGAATAGGCTCCAAAAGTGAACCGATTTGAAAAATTCATTCACTGTTTGGAAGCTACACTATTCCCGAGTGACATAGGCTATAATCTTTTTTGAAAAAAAATTGGGATTTTTACTATAACTCAAATAATGTAACCGAATGTGTAAAAAAATTACCTAAAATATGCTTTACATCGCGTGCCCTGCGAAAACTATTGATGATAGAATAAAATAATGTACTATTGACTTTGTAGAACACATTATTATTTACATAAAGTGTCGCGACAGCATATATCTACCTATTATAGTTATGCCGCAATAAGTGTTCTTTTATTTAAAAAACAAAACAACGTCAAATATCGTTGAAATTTTTGTTAAAGATCCGAGCGAAGCAGGAGCTGGCCGCTAGTCTTTAATAAGTGTAAAGAATAAAGTAAAAAAATTAATGGATACCTCGATAAGGATCGATGTTAAATAAAGCGAAATTTGTCTATCCTATTTTATAGTTTTATATTTATTTTCTGACTGAAACATAATATACTAACTAAACTCTATATTCCTAGATAGTAGCCGACGAAATTCAATATATCAATTTAAAACGCGTATGTGCAAATGTACGAGTAAAATCGAATGTAAAGGATTTTTTATTTTTAAATAAATCCATTTTTAGTTTTACAACGACTACGATTGTTTTATGATTTGTATTTAATCGTATGTAAGTTTATCTTATATTGTATTTATTTTTCACATGTGTATATAAGTATATATTTTTATGTAAGTTTATTAAGATATAGCACCGTCCAGTTCACTTATTCCTCTTCCTGCAAGGTTGCCTGGAAGAGATCGCTTTCGGCGATAAGACCGCCAATTTATATCACCGACTTTTATTTGTTTTATTAGCTTACTCTGTACATATGGTGTTAAATAAAGAGTTATATTATTACTAGCTGACCCGGCAAACGTTGTCTTGCCATATATAAGATTTCTAGAGAATTTCTAGTGTAGAAAAAAAATTACTAACTTATTGGAAGTGTATAAGGATGTGGAATATGAGTGAAAAAGGCCTGGAGCGCTGTGAACGATGAGGGAATGTTGTTCAAAAATAACAAAACAACAAACATTAAAAAAAAAAAAAAATTTAAAAAAAAAAATTTTTTTTGGTGTGAACACCCCTTGTCACTTAAAGGTTAGAAAAATAGATAGTAGCCGATTCTCAGGCTTGCTGAATATGCATAAAAAATTTCATGAGAATCGGTCAAGCGGTTTCGGAGAAGTATGGGAACGAACATTGTGACACGAGAATTTTATATATTAGATTATTGTTCTAAAATAGGGTTATGATTTTAGCATTATACACCACGTAGTAGGATGTCATAATTTCGTCAAAGGGAACCAGTTTTTTTATTTTTCAAAAAAATAAAAACTGTTTGCTTCTACTGAGGTTACAATGTTCTAAATGTCATCAAACTCTTAATGGATCCTAAATCGAGTTTCAAGTCAAAAGATTAGGTTATTTTGTGTGCGAATGAATTTATTTTTAAAATATGTCAGCTAAAAATTTGTTTGTTTAGTAAAATCTAAACACTTTTTTTTTGTTTTCGTACATGTTCATTACATTATTTTACATTTGATTTTATTTGTTTTGTGAACAAGCTTGCTTGCGATGAGTAACAAGACTGATTTGACTGATAAATACCTAAATAAATCGTTATTAATCTTTCATTGGCCGTTTCAATGATTTTTTTATAAAATAATTATCTAAATTAATAAGTATCTTGACTCGGAGACTGGGATGTTCGTAACACAGTGTAGTTACAGGCGCTAACCTATTAGCAATTATTGCTTATTAGGTTTCTTATTCCAGTCAAGGACTCTAACACAAGGCTTTTATTGTTTTTGGCGTACTGAAAACTCGTAGGTAAAACATAGTACAGCCAGAGATGGAATAATAAATATCTTCTACAAAAATACTGAATTTAATTTTGTTCATCAATCATCGATGCGATCAAAATGTATTAAGTGTATGCCAATTAGGTGTCATTAAAGCTGGCTCGGCTGCTCCTACTCGTCTTGAGTATCGGTGGTGAGTCGTGTTATCAGCTGAAACGGGTAGGCACTGTCGTCTTTTTAAGTCTCCGTCGAGAATTAATCGTGCGTTTGAACTGTAAGACCTTGAGGGAGTCCGTATAGAGTCCCTTCTTTATTTCGCCGTAAAATCCTGTTTTATGTAATTAACACCACAGTTAAAACAATCGGAGTTTTATTGTTGTAGCGGCATAAACAATTCTAATTTATTATATTATATTAGTTATTATACACATTATATTTTATTTTTCGTTTTAAATTTTTGGCGGTAAAAAGGTCCCGTGTCACAGACTATCTTTTTCCCACCTCTCGTGCGTTCCGGCTTACGCATCATAAAAAAGTGTGTTCTTAAACGCCACAGCTTTATTCAAAATCAAATGAGACTTCTATGTCTGAGTGTGTGCCTTAACGGGCTTTACGTTGTGTTATTCGATTCTCGCCGAGGCCAAGCGAAGGAGGGCACTAACCAAAGCCCGCCACATTCCTTCGTAATCAATTATTTTGTTTCAGTATTGGATGTATAAATTTCGGGATGTGCCACCGAACAATCTCACGATGGAAGTACGGAAGACTCAGTTTCAAGCTGAGTTCACGTCGTACCTCAATGTAGCTACTGCTATACCCAATCTAATATTCCTGATCCTGAACTCTTTGTATGGACATCTGTGAGTATTTTAAACATGCTTCTATTAGCTTGAACTGTATCTCCCTAGTCCGATTAACTTAAAAACGTACACACGTATCAAAAACAAATGATGATATCGAGGGATGAAAAACTTTGGTTTAATGTGATATTTTTGCAACTTTATAGGTAGGCCATGTAAAGTTTAATATCACAACAAAAAAAACTTCTTCAATTATCTGAATGGAGTAAACTTAAAAGAAGTTCAATTAAAAACATCGAACTTTGATGCTGTTACCAAATAAAACGCACCTTTAATTACAAAGATGATGCTCTGCCCACAGAGTTTCTCGCCGGATCTTCTCAGTGGGTCGCGTTTCCGATCCGGTGGTAGATTCTGTGAAGCACGGCTCTTGCTAGGGCCAGTGTTAGCAACACTCCGGTTTGAGCCCCGTGAGCTCACCTACGTGTTACGGCGAAGCTGAAATAGCCTCTCAAGGCTATCAGTTACAAATTTCGCGTATTAAGGGAAATGTAGCCTTTCACCCCTCGATATAATAATTTTACAGTTCTAACCTAACCATATTCTGCCGTGCTTAATTTTGGTTTGGCCGGTGGAACAGCCGTAGTACCGTAAAACGGAGACTTCAAACTAACGTCTTACTTAACAATAGATTAGGCCAATTAAAAAATAATCAGGGTCATCGCTGTGAACTTCCATCTATCTACAACAGCCTTTCTCAAAGTGGGCGATAACGCCCCCTTGTGGGCGCTGCAGGCTTAATGGGGGGCGGTAATAGACCCAGAAAAAAATTTAGGGGCGTTGTGTAGAGGCTTGGGAGGCGATTTTTAATTTCATCTAGGAGGACTCTTAGACACTGACTGAGCTCTCGCTATAGTGGTTTTTAAGTAGGTGAAAAAAGGGGGCGCTAAAAAATAATTTATTCTCAAAGTGGGCAGTAGACAGAGAAGTTTGGGAATCACTGATCTACAATATTAGCATATATAAACCTTGTATTCCCAGGGTGTCTCTAAAGAGCAGATTACAAAGTTCCCTCATCGTTGTAACCATCTCATTCCTTGTGACGACTGCACTCGTCCAAGTTAACACTGACGAGTGGCAGAACGGATTCTTTATAATAACTATGGTCACGGTTGTTATTATGACAGGTGAGTGTTAGTTTTGATGATATTTCACTAAAAGCCTTTTTCCCTACCTATTCACTGGTAGCCTAAGATTCTATTTCAGCTACGTCCGGACTGACGGACGGAAATCAAGACCGCTAAGTATCTTTTTAATTTTTGTTCGATATATAACGTTAAACGTACTTGCAGTATTTATACATATCTTTTTTATTTTTGGGAACACAATTAGAATATTCCAATAAAGTTACTAAACAAACAAATCCAAAACAAAAATTCTAATTTCGAAAACTTTTTTTTCAGCGGCCAGTGCCGTATTCATAGGCGGCTTGGTCGGAATAGCGAGTCGTTTCTCAAAGGAATACATGGCGGCCGTCGTGAGCGGACAATCGTTAGGCGGAATCATAGCCGCCGTAGCCCAAATAATATCATTAGCTTTCAAAATATCGCCACAGCACAGCGCCTTAATATACTTCATAATAGCCGACGTATTAGTCATAACGTCGTTGATATCGTACATAAGTTTGTACAAAATCGATTTTTTCACTCATCACATCCTGCAAGGATCAGGGATGGTTACCAATAGGCACCGAGAGGTGTCGATGGTGAATATAATGAAGAAGATATGGGTTTACGCGTTCAGTATTTTCGCGATATTCGCCATAAGTATGGCTGTTTATCCGGCTGTCACGGTGCTCGTAGAGTCCCATCCTGCTACTAAAGGAACAGATTGGAATAGTGAGTATTCAATATCTATAATTTATTAGTGATACTTTTTCGATACGTCAAATAAAAACTTTTCGGAAGGGACAACGCTAGAATTCTGATGAAGCGTAGAAAATTGTGGAAAATTGTTAAGAATTATTGCCAGAAAAGCTCGTTTAATCTCTGGCCTAGTCCGCATTACAAACCAATAAATAAATACTAGGTATTTTCTCAATAAACTTCTTATTTCCACTCAAAATGCGCGTTCTCTATTTAATATGACTTAGACGAACTTATATCGACAGATACAAGGCAGATAACGACACCTACAAAGATATGATGTTTTAATGCGAAATAGATAACGATTACAATAGTACATTGTTAACACGTCGAATGTCGTATGAATAATCGAGTATTTTCATTGAGGCCACAGTGCTCACCGGTGAGCCTTACTGAACCATTCGGGCTATGAGGGTCACCTGTGAGCTTTTTAAAATGTCTAAACTAAACGGTAAAAGTCGCTAATTTTTATCTTCCGTGCAAATTATCGCATTTTATAAATTTGAGAATGAAAATATCAAGTTGATAAAACTTACTGATTCTTTGATTTTGGCTTAGGCACACCGGTGGGTCGTATAGCGTACCACGTGTTAACGTGAATAATGAACTATGATGATCGATTTTTAAAAAAAACCATTTTATGTCGCATCAAGAACTTTCCGAGATGCTGTAACATTCTACCAAGTGTATTTCGCTGCCCAATCAAACACTTGAGACGAAAATATTTTCAAATTTCCAACGGTCTATTAAAAATTTTACTAATAGGATAATTCCCTAAAATATGGTATCATGGTGTCGGTGATTAGAGAACATTAATAAGCAAAAAAACTATATTAATATCTTGTGTTACACTAAATGTAACACGAGATTAGAGAGGCATCTGCCACTTGTTTTCGCATTAGATGTGATTTCACCAGATAAGATATATATGAATTGTTTATTATCAGTTACAACATTTTCTATTTACGTAAGTGATTTGTGTAATTTCATGCTCCGGTATGTGGAGTGTGTATGGTATGTGGTGCATATAACCGTGTAACCAATTAAAAACAATATGTTTTCAAAAACGGTCTCTATACTGGGTGTTGGGAGATCGCTTCTGAAAATGAAGACAGTCGATAGTATACTAACCTTTGATGATGGGACGGAAAAAATATTGATCCTGCTTTAAAAAAATCATATTTTTAAAACGTTTTATTAGCATTATTTACGCACCATAATGTTAGTAGAGCTAAATGAAACGATAATTTCATATAAAAAAAAACATAACTTTACTTTAAAAAAAAACCAGCAATGAAACACAAAATCATAAACAGCTGATGCTCGGATCAATGAACGCCCGGACGCGGCGGCATTTCTTTTACACGCATACCGGCGCGGCGCTGATACCGCGCTCCCCAAAATTTACAACTTTGTAGGTACAAAATTTTCGTTTTCCGAAGCGGTCTCCTACCCATTGCACTCGATATTATTTCGTTTTTCTAAATGACACCTACGAAATTATATCATCTCGAAAGTATTATTGATAACGTTTCAGATATATTCTTTGTACCGGTTGTCAACTATTTAATATTTAATTGCGGAGATTACTCCGGCAGACTGGTCGCTGGCTTTCTACTGAGGGTATGTTGGTTTCTTGAATTTATTTAGCCACCCTTCTTTTTTAAAAAATACTTCTTTCTTAAATAAATAACATATGTTTCGTCTTAAGTGCTTATAGATGCAGTTTAATGTCCTTAAGGCGAGATATCGAAGTCTCAAGAGATATACGCTTTTAAACGTGAAGATGCTTGATCGATATTCCAGTTCACGCTAAAGAAAAAGTATATATTAATTCCAGCCATTAAACCAATGGGTCATAGCGATAGCGAGCATTATCCGTATCATAGGAGTGCCTATGTTGATGCTATGCAATGCTAAACCAAGGAAACACCTCCCCGTGCTGTTTTTGTGGGACTACGAGTATATCATGATAATGATTGTATTCGCTTTCACCAACGGATATCTGACTAACATTGTCATGATCAATTCTACAAGGTAAGGGCTTTTTCTTACCTTACCTACGCTTTAGTCTGCAGTTTTTTCAAAGTGAAACTTTTATTACAAGGTCTCAAGCTATTTCGTCTGTGTGTTGCATGTCGCGTGACGGTCGGCCGCGGAGTAGGGATAAAGTAAAAAGCGCTCTTCAGAGCAGCCAAGGCCAATATGGCGGCGCCTATGGTTCGCAGCAGCTGACCGTGTAGTGTATATACTATTACTCATTTGTGCCAGTGTCTCCACGCTATTTTGTTTTTGTCAGTGTTTAATGTAAATGTTGTTTGTCAAAGTTAAATGTCTATAATGTGAAAAAAGCTTCACTTTTACCGTGGTTTCATAATTCTATCATTGAGGTCATCGACCTCTAGAGAACAATTTGTAGATTACCATTTAAAAAAATCTTATTTTAAGTCAGAAAAGTTGGTAACATGGAATTTTAGCTTGTGTTTCTATACACCTAATCCTATATCTATGTTTCTATACACCTAATCCTATATCTATGTCTTTCACACTGTTGTTGTCCACATAAGAATTGACACATTTAATTTCACTTCGATAATTGGGACAAAACTGAACCCTATCTTCCTCGTAAATCTCATAAACAAGTCCTTTTAAATTTATTATGCAACAGATAAGATATCGGTGACCCGACTGTCACTGCTAATGAGATCAAATCATCTGTCAGTTGTTTATTTGAAATTTCGAATTAGGTTATCTGTGCCGATTTATTGTTCTCATAAACAACAGATGGTTGTTGTTTATTGGTGATAATTATTTCATTAATTAGACCTCGACACCCAGTCTAAATATTTCAGCCGCCTAAGAGTCGTTGTTGAAAAAGCTGTTATATTAAAAATAATTGGAACTCGACCTCACGTCTTGAGGTCGGTGGCGGGACTCACGTAATTCTCGTTCCTCTTCCGGCATGCTCGATCTTTCGCTCTAGTCGTGTTCATGTCGTAAATCGATTTTTATTCCTCCTTTACGATTTTATAAACAGCTATTAAAGTATATCGTACGAATAAACACGGAGTTACCGTGGCTTAAAAGATTAGACTGTTGGTGTATTAACGTGGGTAGGTACTAATTTTTATACTTCCATACGCACTGAGCAGATGTTCACGAATGCCTTCCACGATTAAGGAACAACACCGTTGAATCAAAGTTAAATCCGAAAAAAAGCCCAATTACCATACGATTAAGACATAGATTTCGAATTTCAAGGTCCACGGTAACCACTTGACTTTCAAATGCGCAGTGAGCTCTTTCACCCGTCTTCTCTTATCTAAAACCTCAATTAAATATACTTTAATACAAAATATTCGTTTCCAGAGTTGTAGAGTTCCACGAGAGAGAGAAAGCTTCATCGGTAATAGCAACAATGTTGAGCGTCGGTCTTACCGTCGGAGCAGCTGTCGGTCTGTTACTAGTAAGAGTGCTATAAAATATAATGGTATAGAAATATTTAAAATAAGATTTTTGCTTTCGCAATGTGATGAAATTGAGTCAGTTCTAACTCATCAAGGTTGCCGGCGCTAAGTTTGGGTGCCGCTTATTACTTAGAATTAAGTAAATCATACTATCAGACTATCCACACCTCAAACATTTAATTTCTTGCCATTAATTTAACAGAAAATTTATTATTTATTAATCAGTTGTAATTTTCTCTTACATTACATAAAACGCGATGTTAAAATGGTCCTTTGAGCCAAATTGCCGCGACGCTCTTATAAAAAATATCGATTTTTTTTAAATTTAGTAGTTTGCTTTTTATTTATTAAAATATAAGTCATTTTCGCGTAAATAATAAGATTTTGTTAGAGGTAAACTTGAATTATCACAGTAAGATGTTTAAGTACACATAAGGAGGTATTTTTTAGCTTTGCTCTCTGTGTTCGTTTTTTTTATCATTTAATAGGCAACAAAACATTCCAGTAATTTTAATTTTACACGAGTTAGTAATTAAATATTTAAATAAACGAAAGAACGAACCGAATGAAGTATTGGAAACATGTCACTTTTTCACGCGGTATCATCTTTTTTGTCATTTCACAATATTACTGCCATGAACAGATTTGAAAGGTTTGTAACTTCTGAATAGTGTTTATTTCGGAAAACAACTTTCTATTTATTTAAAAAATGCGAAGGCTATTTTTATATTCAAATTTTGTAACATACGTTGGAACTTTCTGATCTAAACTGTTCATACAGTTCTATTCATGAAAATGAAAAAAAAAATTAAGTGCAAAAAAAATCTTTTTCATTCGAAAAACAGATTCCAAAATTATTTTCACAACTTGCAGCTAAATCTCTCAAAGTTGTCATGACAGGATGATCTGAAGTTACATTAAAATGTCACAAACTTCAGAATTGAAGTACAAAATATAACTTAAAGGCAGATATAACTTAATTATGTAGGTAGGTATGTATATAAATAGCAATTTTTGTATATTACTGTTTTGTATGTTATTTAATGCATTTATGGTATTAATTTTAAAAAGCTGACGATGTAGGTATTTTTTAAATGCCCAAAATAACCAAACATTCCCAAAATACCTCATTTTTAACTCATTTATTAATTATTCTTGATATATTATAATCATAATAATTTCATAATAACGTATTATAACAACAAAATCTTATTTTAAAACTTAATAAATGCGGAATCAGTACTTGAGTCATTAAAATTTTGATTATAAATCTAAATTAATTAATGCTAAGAAAAAAATATTTTGCATTTATTTAGTGTCTTGCACTCAATACAACCGCATTAGTCAAACAAAAACTTGTAGAGTTATATTGATTATTTAAAAAAAAAACTCTTACACATATATAATTGTAATTAAATTTACTTAAAACAACAATGCAGATAATCAAAGATGGTGTTTAAAAAATTATTATATTGAAATCTAAAAATATCAATATTTATATACATATATCTCATATCTATTGTAATATTTAAGTAAAATAAAAGATCTCAGTATTTTATTGTTAAAAATAATATACCAATTAATGAGAATTAAATCATGTAACATAGTTGTAAGTTTTAAAAGTTTTATTATTATGTATGTATTAAGCAGTATGTATCCAGTACGCGGAGTAGAAGTGAAACTTCTTAATAAAGAGACAAAGAGAGACTTCATAAACAAAAGTTATCCAACTCATTTTAAATTGTAACACTGAATTTTAATCAACTTCTATACCAAAGAATTTTCACAATAAAAATGGAAATGTGTACATTACCTCTTAGTAACTGGTACCGTAGGCAATATAATAATAACATAGCATAATCAGAATTTATATGTGCTATATACAGCCCAAAGTTTTATATTGATGGTTACTTACTATTATTTTAATTGTGATCTTGGAACTATTTTCTCAGACCTGTGCTTACTGTGTAGTCTTTGGTAATAGCATAATAAAATGAGGGTTACGAATGGACATTTGGGTTGTGTGGTATGGTGCCACTTGCCAACAAGTTCATTCTGTGTTACCTGAAGTAGTTAACTAGTTTGTGTTACTGTCAAATTATGTTGTAAAACTAATTATGCCATACATTTTTACATATTATTACTTTGTTTTACAATTTTTAGCCGTTTTTATTTGGACTTTTGAAGTATTTCAGCACATAGCTAAATCATATAGATGTTTTGTGAAGTGAATTTATGACGTATAGGGTAAATAGTTGTGATAACGTGACATGTGAAAATGAGAAAAATAAATTATTTATCACCAAACACTAATGTTTAATTCCATTACATAAAATTAATACCTTATGTATTTTTATATTATATTTTTTTTTATTTGTGTTACCCAATTTAGTATGCAGTTGGAACAGCGCCCTTACCGGCAAACGTACGCAAACGATCCCATTCCTTACAAATATGAACTAACTTTTACGTTATCGAGAACGTTAAAAAACTCTCACTAAGCACACTGTTTATTTATGGCGTGCGTGCGTGAACGTGCTCACAGCTCACCTGCATGGTGCAGTGGTTACCTAAGCACCGAGACACCATAACCTGCCTGAGAATGAACCGCAGCCCACTATGAAAAGTAAGGTCGATGAGTCAACTGGATTTTGAATACTCCAGAAGGTCCCACAAACAAGTTCGAAAAGGAATGGTAGGGAGCGAGGTGCGGACGTATCCCCGAGTGTATGCTTCGGTGGTTGCCGGTGAAAAAAAAAAAGTCTGTGCCCGAAAAGGCGCGCGCGCGGCTTGCTAAAAGGAAAGCCCCTGATTGGTTGCGGCGCGCGATCAGACGCGGCAGGCGTTTGGGTTGCTATAATACTTCATTACGAGATATTATTACTGCGGTTTCGGTTTCGGTTCTGGATGAACTCCCCTACACGATTTTTACTGGTGATAGGACCTCTTGTGAGTCCGCATGGTTAGGTACCACCACCTCGCCTATTTCTGCCGTGAAGCAGTAATGCGTTTCGGTTTAAAGGGTGGGGCAGCCGTTGTAACTATACTTGAGACCTTAGAACTTATATCTCAAGGTGGGTGGCGCATTTACGTTGTGGATGTCTATGGGTTCCAGTAACCACGTAACAGGTGGGCTCGTCCAACCATCGAAGCGATAAAAAAAAACGATTTCTTCAGAGTATTATTATATGATCCTCTTCAAACTAGGCTTGAAAACAATTCTTATCGGACCCTAGTCCTGTGATTGCTACTGCTGTTCGTGAGTAGCAGCGACCCATTATCAGATGGGTCAGCAGAAACTTGTAGGAAAAGTTCGGAAAAGTTCTTTTCTCGCAGACAAAAAAAAACATAACTAATTTCAGTCATACCATTTAATAAATTACCTATGTCATGTAAAAATAAAATCACAATTTCAGATAAGACAATAAAATGACTTAAGCTACATATTATATTAAAACATTACAGTGATGCTCTATTTGGCTAGTACCTACATAACATACTAATGTAATTAGACAAGCTTATCATTTTGGCTCCATCCTTTAGCCGCATTTAAATTTACATTCAATTAACAATTAATTTTAGCACTTCATATGAGTATGAACGTTTCATCACCATGAATTGCAATAAGCCCTGATACATAAAATACAAATGTCATTTTACAATTAAATTCTAACAGTAATAACACAATATATATTTTCTAAAACACAAGCATCGTTATGAAAATTATAATGTGAATTTATCGAACATTCCAGCACGCTGGTATCATCTAATTACTGCTGGTCACCCAATGCGAATCCCTTTGTCTATGTTTCAAGAGAAAGTTGGACTTGCAGATGTCATATTGTCATAATGTCTTCAGCCGGAAAATATCTATTCCTCCTATGACGCTAAGATTTTCTTTCAACATATAATAATGATTTTGTTTTTATCCAAAATATGAGAATAATAGTAATACGACAATCATAACGCGTAACAAATACGTTTGTTTAAAATGTAATCTCAAGCAAGCCGCATAAGACATATCGACACTAATCACTAAATGCTAAATTTTAATTCACTTATCATTTACAATTCATAATGACTCGCACAACCCTGTTACCGTTTTGACAAATAAATAATTTTTAGGGTTACCTTGCACCAGTCTTATTTCTACAACGAAAATAAAAAGATATGTCCGTACCGTAATGTACACATAAATCGCTGATATTGGCGTTTTACGTGTAAAATATTTGCCGTTATATCAGGTGGTCAAGTCTATGCGTAACAATTAGGAAATTGAATCGTGCAAAAAAGAATTTTTTTCCTGCTTTAGGTAGATATAGGCAATGAACGAATTTATTAATTAAATATGATTAGAAATAAGAAATCAGTGATCTCGCATTAATCTAATCAAAATATTTTATTGAATAAAAAGGTAATGAGTTTGTTTTCATAGATAGCATACTATAGTGATTATCTTCTACTACATTTGACGCTTCGAAATATCTTTTAGTTGCTATTCTAAGTATGTAACAGGTTCATTTTTCGTTTACGTCATAATATGGCAACATTAAAGATTCAAATATAAATGTGGCGGTCTGTGCAAAAGTGACCTAGCCCACAATTTTTCATATTCGTGCTTATATATATTGCAATTTATTTAAAAATTTAGAAATTTTCATAGCAAAACCGGCCTAGCCCTATTTTAACTCCTAGATAACAGATGGCTTTGTGAACATTATTTTACGCGGATTGTTTTTGCCTACGAAGCAGCGTAAAAGTGAATTCGAACCTCATTATCTCCATACTATGGTAAGATTAGGCCACTTTGGCGCTGACAGTCTCAAATTTATATAGTAAGAGCGAAAAGAAACAGGTGATTGTTTAAACAAAAAGAAATATAATATAATCCTTTTTTTCATGACTTCTGTTTATGAAATGTTTTTTTTTAAATTCCTCAATTGCTTTACATACCTTTTAATACGCTTTTATTAGCTTCAGACGTATGTATGTAACGGAATCTTTGAAAAAAATTCCGTTACGTCAAAGCTTTGAAGAAAAAATGATTTTATTGTAAAAAAAAAGCGTGGGGTGCATGGTATCATCAGTAGTTATAAATATTTTATGAACAGATATGAGTAGAAGGGGTATTTTGATAATATCCTGAAAAGCACCGCACGCTTTTTTTTTTACAATAAAATCATTTTTTCTTACAATATTTTTAATTCAAATTTATTAAAATTTATTTTCTATTTTTTAGTTGGATTTTCTATAAAAGCGTATTTTGTTAGTTTTTTGAAACTATTATTTATTTTTATTTATTTAATTCGAAGTCTTGTGGCACGACAATCTCCTTTATATATAGGTAGTTCATTTAATTATCACCTGTTTTGCGTGACCGATTCGGCTCCATGGCGCACAAAACGGAACATACCGTTTGATATCGCCACAACGGGCGAGAAAAGCTTCAAGGGATATTCACTGAAAAAATTACACACGAAAATCTTTAAATATTAAAAGTATATAATTAAAATTGTAGCTCTCAAACTAGTGTTATATTGTCATGTGTTATAGTCACAGACAAGTGCTACGCTATCTATATAATATATAAAAATGAATTTCTGTTCGTTAAGTCTCGCTAAAACTCGAGAACGACTGGACCGATTTGGCTAATTTTGGTCTTGAATTATTTGTGGAAGTCCAGAGAAGGATTAAAAGATAAATAAATATGAAAATGCATGGAATTAAATAAAAATGACGATTTTGTTTTTCCTTTGATGTGTCCCCCGTCGGACGGATTCCTTTTGTTTGTTTTAAGTTTATTTTATACAAAAGTTTTGGTCTTTTGTTTATCGATTAAGGCACTACGAAGTCTGCCGGGACAGCTAGTTAATAGATAAAAATGGAAAAATTGAGTACAAATGAACTTCTTATTTCTTTAAGATTTCTTCGAGGCTCTCTTTTAAAAATATACTATCATAGTTATCATAATTAAATTGTCAACTTATTACCTAAATTACTAATGGAGGTTAGCATTTTAATTAGAACACGCGTAGGTAGTATATAACAAATTGGTTAATTTAACATTTTAATTATTGGCAACAATGTAAAAAGGCGGCCCATTCGTAATATTATTTACTGGTGGTAGGACCTCTTGTGAGTCCGCGCGGGAAGGTACCACCGCCCTGCCTATTTCTGCCGTGAAGCAGTAAAGCGTTTCGGTTTGAGGTTATACTGAGACGTTAGAACTTGTATCTCAAGGTGGTTGGCGCATTTACGTTGTAGATGTCTATGGGCTCCACTAACCACTTAACACCAGGTGGGCTGTGAGCTCGTCCACCCATCTAAGTAATAAAAAAAAGTGTGTGTGTCCGCTCCGACGCACGACTGGAGTTTACTGGATATAAATATAAATTTGTGTCAGTTGAATACAGTAAAATATGCATTTATTAAAAAAGCTTTATTAATAAATGATTTGTAGCGGGTTATATTCGGGTATCAACCCACTAACAGTTGATACGTTCAGGAATCGAACCCGAACGGCGTCCGGCCACAAGCAAAACGATGTCGGTAAATTAAACGAAACAATACGAGAAATAGTTCTATATTACGACAACACGATACACTACAGATTATTAACAAATTAACGAGACACAAAACAAACGACTAACAAATATATGAAAATACAATAATGAGAGAAACGCGCGATCAGTACGAGGCTTTGTGGCGGACTGCCGGCGCAGCAGCCCGGCGTCACCTGCGATAACGCGGCCGCGCGTTGGCTCCTGATTGGCGCGCGTTGGCTCCTGATTGGCGCGCGCACGCATCACCATGGCCAATCAGGCGCATAACGCATTTCGTGTGACATGCTATACTCTCTAGTACGATTTTGGTCCCCATAATTTTCATACCCCGGGCCTATATATGTAAATCGATTCTTAAGGAGTAAACTCCAAAAATAGTACATATAGTAGGATTTAATTAATTGATATATGTAGTTCGTGATACATATAGGATATAATTTAATTCGTGAAATACGAAATAAAGTGACGAATATTTACCTTCCTACGACAGGCGTCGCTTCGTTGCCGCTCAATATGAAAACCGGGAAGAATATCGAGAAAACGCACCCGCTGCAAATAAAACGCCCATTTCAATCATTAATCAGATTCAGTGTGCTTAGTGTGAGTTTCTTAACGTTCTCGATAGCGTAAAAGTTAAGCCAATTTTGTATGCAGTTGGAACAGCGCCCCTAGCGGCAAACGTAGGCAAACGTTCCCATTCCATATAAATATGTGCTAACTTTAACCGTTACATATACATAACATATACACCGTAAGTATGCATACATGCACATAACATACACCGCTGTATATAATATATTTTTCGATCTAAAGTTTTATAGTAGGCTTAATAATATCATAATAAATAAATAACTCAATATTCCTTTGGGATAGATATTCTTCTTTTTATTTTTACACTGCGTGCGGGATAGGATTCGTGCCTACCAGGTGGGACCGAATGAATTCTCTCCCGCAATGACCCGCTAATACCATGACACATAATTATTCAGATTAAAAAGTTGAAGATTCTGACAGACAGTAATAAACAGGGGCAACGACACATTCAAAGTATTCTTATTCAAAGTAAACTTGAAGAGTCCACAGTAATAGGCAGCGGCAGAGCTGTGACCCTGAAATTGGTTGACATTCCTGAGCGTCAATGAACACTAAAAAAGTTGAACTTTGAGAACAATAATGTGATACATTTTTTTTATATATTCAGTGATATTCGATTTTATGATTAAAAATATATCAAAAATAAGTTTATTTATTTTTAATATACGGTCTATTTAATCTACATGACTTTTACCTTAATTTTTTGTCTTGATAATAAATTCAAACTGTATATTCATTAAACCTAATTGTATTACAAATAACACATGCGTTTCATATTACAACCTTGAACTCGTATGATAAAGGTGATCAAAGTTCTCAATCTATTTACTGTATACTTTATCTTAATAACACAATAAAATTAAGCATTCTGATAATATATATAAACGATGATACGTATTCAAATTTAAATTGTTTTATTTACTTAAGGTAATAAAATAAACAGAATATTCCTATGTGCTCTCGAACACTATTATCAAACTAACCCAAACAGTGTTTATAAGAGAACAGTAGAAGATAGAATGATATAAAAATTGCTATGTATAAAAAAATATATTTGTTTACCCTCTCAAATAGTAAGTTAATGGAGCATTATGAGTTCACACGAGTTGTAACCTCATGAGCGATTTCTATTAATTCCGGTTTGAGGGTAACCAGCAATGCAATACAAAATGGACGTTCCGTTTCAAGGTCACAAATTATATTCGGGTTCTGGTTCTCACCAAATTTGCTGTTCACTGATTCTCATAATGACTAATCGGTTAGTTTGATCTTTCTAGCCTTATTCATGTATTTTTAGGAGAGCATTGAAAAGAATGACCACTGTCAGTGAATGGTCATCCTCATTCCATTTCTTGTGTTCCTTTTCGAATCAAACCTTTCAAGTCTCTCCCTTAGTTTATGTACAGTCATTGCAGGTCGTATGTCCTGTCAAAGAGGTTGGATACCACGACAATGACCGTACTCCTTCTCTTCACACACACACACACACACAGATACAAATACAAAATACTTTATTTCCAAAATCGAGTTAAAATAATAAAATGATTGGAGTCTCGTTTTAAGCGTGCAAGCCTGTACTAGGAGACTCCGCTGTTCCATAAAAGCACGTTATATACTTTATATACTACAATTTTACTAATTATATATAGCAAATGTGTGTGTGTGTGTGAGTGTGTGCGCGTTTATTTGTGTGTTTTACTTTAATACATTTAGAATAGCCTCTGTTTCGTCATAGTTCACACAGATAAAACCGAAACAAGTACAACAACACGAATCAACGTAAAATAGTAACAAAACTCACCTTATAATATAAGACTGAGGTATCTGAGTCAAAACGGCTAAGGGGAGTCCGAAGCCGACGAAATACGGCCAGTTGGACTCGATGAATGTCAAGCGCTTGTGCAGCTCCCAGCCCATGTTGAACCATTTGTACTCGAACGAATAGAGCGAGTACAGTAGACACATGTGAATTAGGCAGAGCAACTCGCCTACGTAGGTTAAGGGAAGCATGCTGACCAACATGCTCTGAAAATAAACGAAAACTATAGACAGTATAGACAGTGGCATAACGATCTAAGCTCGCGTCCGGGACACGATACCTTTTTAGCGAATTTTTCTTTTTTATTTATGGCTAAAGATAAAGAAGCCTTTATTATCAAAATTGATTCATATTTAGGTACATACTATTAATGTAATTTTTCTAAGCATTTAACATCGGCAAAGATTGTTTTGCTTTCGCATAGGCCTCCTCCAATTTTTTTTTTATTGCTTAGATGGGTGGACGAGCTCACAGCCTACCTGGTGTTAAGTGGTTACTGGAGCCCATAGACATCTATAACGTAAATGCGCCACCCACCTTGAGATATAAGTTCTAAGGTCTCAAGTATAGTTACAACGGCTGCTTCACGGCAGAAATAGGCGGGGTGGTGGTACCTACCCGTGGGGACTCATAAGAGGTCCTACCACCACAGGTCCTGCCATAAGTCCCGGTCGTGGCGTTTTCTCTTCCACGTAGAGCCTGCAACGGCCTTTATGTCGTCTACCCACCTTCGGAACGGTCGTCCTTATTTATGACTTAACATTTACTATATTACACTGAAAAGCTGAGAAGTGCGCGTTTGGAATGTTATGGACATGTGACACAAATGAAAATGAAGTCGGTAAGAGAGTGTTAACTATGAACGTGGAAGGATATAGAGGAAGAGGTAGACCTAAGAAGAAATGGATGATTGAGTGAAAGACGATATGTGTAAGAGGGGAGTGAGCGAAGAAATGGTATATGATAGAGGAGTATGGAAGGAGAAAACATGTTGCGCCTTCCCCAGGTGACTGGGAGAAGGGCAGGAGAATGATGGTTACACTGGCACTAATTTTAAAATATATTTTCGAGAAATAAACAATAACAAAACAAAACAAAAACCAGCAATTTCTTGTTTTGCGCACCATTTATTTGTCGCCCCTTTACGAGTAGCGACCGGGCATAATGCACTCCTTGACCCCCCCACATACTCCACCGACTGTAGACTATTCGAAACGTTGTAAATATGACAGTAAAAAAGAAAAACATCTGTACATACAAGTAGTTTTATTTATGTGTACGATACGCGAAGACCGAAGAAAATATTACTGTTGTTCTTTTTGTTAATTCGGTACATATGCAGTTTATTAGTTGGATATTTATTATTCGTTCTCAGTTTCTTATAACAGTTTCATGAATTCAGAATATATAATAAACTCCCGTTCGTTTACAATACTCATACTTAAACAATACGCCAGAAATATATTTGCAGAAATGCTAAACAACTGTACAAACAGTTTGTTCAGATAAGCGACTCGCAAATTATCAGACTAGGTCAAAATAAAATAAAGTTTACGAAAAACAAAATAATGACGCTCTTATGATCAATACATTTTTATAGGAACTTTCTCAATTACATACTTTTATTTTTAATTTCAAAGGTAGGTAGAAGTTTGCTCCCCGCTTGGTGTTAAGTGGTGATCGGAGCTTATCGACATCATAAAGCTAAGGCCATAACCCACTTCGAGATTTCCGGTCAGTCTCCTATAGTGGAACCGCTGATCGACCCTTGGAACCGATATGCATTTTCCCTTTCAGTCTCTCAGTTTCCCAGAATAATATAACCACAAATTTAACTTTAGCCGAAATGTGTGCAAGAAAAATAAGAGTGACTTCAAGTAGAATTAACGAAACATAAAAAAATTCACATCTATAGATTAATCAACAAGCAATTATTTTAAGTATTTATTTATTTGTGAACACATTGGTACCTACGACAATGAATAGAAACTGACAAAATTTAGTACAAGGCAGTGCTTTAGGAATGTACTCAATGGATCTACAAATGAGTGGACCGTCACAATAACATTGAAAATTTAAAAATTAAAAATTATGCAAAAATATTTATTATATTCAGAATACTTATTAATTCATTAACTACTATATTGTCAAGTAGTTAGGTGGCGAGGTTCACGCAAGGTTTGAAACAAAGACTAGAATTTTAATAAATGAATTATTCATTAGCCAGTTACCTTTTTTGTGTACATTGAATTTGTGCAGTTAATTTTAAAATTCATACATATTGTGATGTAGGTAATAGTCAATCTAAGTTTGAATAATCAATACGGAAATACCTATCGGAATAGAAATGATGTTGTCTGGGTTGTGGACATAGCCTGTAATGTCAAGCCCGTAAGATCAAGTTTTACACAAAAACAGCAACAATAATCAGATATTATGTCTATCAGAGTGCTGGAAGTAGATCTAACCTAGACCGAACCTAACCTGACTTTATATGCCGAATTAATAAAAACTTAAATGCTTGGATCTGAATGGTTTCTATGTAAGAATTCAGGATTTGGTTTGGGAATGTATCATTACTTTTCATATCATGAATTTCCATGTTTAGCGACATATTTCAGTTACTGGCTCTTCTCTTTAGCATTAGGTAACAAAAAAGATATTTGTGACTTTCATCGGCCAAGTATTATCTTGGTACAATCAAAAAGTTCTTCAATTAAACATTTATATTCATGATGTGAGATATATATTTACCTGTACTAGAAATAAAGCTTGCACCAGCAAACTGAACAGGGAGTCTGCTATTATTTTGCTTACACTCGACATGAATTGTGGCCGGCCACGTCGATGTCGGTAAGCTGAATCAGCTATGTCCTGAAAAAAAGATTAAAACAAAATGTTTATAGATTTGAATAAGTTAGTCAATAAAAAACCTGTTGTAGAAACAGGCACAGTGTTGAATATTTACTGAAATAAATTTAATGGTGGTAGGACCTCTTGTGAGTCCGTGTGCGTAGGTACCACCCCCCACCTATTTCTGCCGTAAGGCAGTAATGCGTTTCGGTTTGAAGGGTGGGGCAGCCATTGTAACTTGAGACCTTTGAACTTTTATCTCAAGGTGGGTAGCGCATTTATGTTGTAGATGTCTATGGGCTCCAATACCCACTTAACACCAGGTAGGTTGTGAACTTGTCCAACCATCTAAGCAATAAAGCAATAAATAAAAAAAAAAACAGTCCAATACAGAGAATAATGACCATTCTCACTATCATTTTTGTCTTATCATTGAAAATAATGAAATGTTTATTAGATTTTTATATATTTCAATTTTCAATATAGTCTTAAGTAGTAAAAAATGCTCACATATAAGTTTACTTTTTACTAATACAGTCAAAATCTGTTATAACGACATCGAAGGGACTGCTCATATTCAGTCGTAAAAACCGATAGTCGTAACAACCGGTGATGTTTAATGTGTATCGTGCAAGTACAAACAAATCGATAGGGAATTATTGGAAAAATATATTTACATAATACGCGATTTTTCTTCAATATGAATTTGTTTTCTTTTTCTTTGCGACATTTTGAAAATTTCACGAATAATTCCACAAAGTTTTGGTGCGTCTTGTGTATAGATAAGTAAAAAACTAACTGAAGAGATATGAAGAAGCGGACTTTGATTCTACTGCATGCACGTGTTTTGTTTCTAAGAATTAGAAAAGACCCTACACTAAACTAAATCCTATTGTTTTCTTTCCTGATTTTAATAGCCATTGAAGACAGATGTGAATGCCTATTCAAATTGTTTACAATACAGCTTAGCCGGTCGTTCTAACAGATCTAATACTCCGAAATATTAGTTAAATGTGGTCGTTTTATGAGGTATGTCGTTATAAGCAATGTTGTATAAAGCAATGTTTTTAATAAGGGGATCATATAGCATTCAGCTGGGACCTTTGTTCTAGGTTATTATAACCGGCATGTTGTTCTAAACGATGTCGCAGTAAACGGTTTTGACTGTATTTTAAAATTTAATTAATATAATTTTTATGAAATTGGGAGAGACTCACTTGAAACCATAAACTGTTCACAAGTTTACTTAACAAGAACAGCGGCAGCACCCATATCATTCGGAAAGTCATTAGCAGGAATGGTTGCATCCATGCCCACACATTATGGGCTACACCAGGATCATGACCAAAAATAACCATAACTAAGTATTTAATGGCTGGGAGTAGAACATACTCAAATACTAAGATACTAAGTAAGAATATGAAGCCATTGAGTATACATGATTGTAATACTCGTGTAAGTACTTTCGATTCCCTGTAAATTAAAATGTTATTTTCACATTAATTTTGGTGTAGAGTTAGGAAACTGTTTTTTTTTTTATTAATAAGGGTTTATACTACATGAGAATATAATTTATAATTATATGATATTCTACATTTTTTTGATATTTAACATTGTACAATATTAGCAGTTTTTTTAACATAAAATTGAAAGAAACATTGTTTTTTTTTAATTAAATGGTTTATTTATAGCGCGCAATTAAAACTTTTTATCTTGATTTGAATTAGGTACAAGTGTTTTTTTTACGTCATATTCAAAGCTTTCAAAAAAAAAAAAAAAACTTACTGTCTAACTTTGGGCTGTTTTTGTTTATGTTTTGAATCCGCATCGGTCTGTGGAGATCGGCTCAAAGCTCGTTCGTTTATTTCTTTATCTAGATATAACAGCACAGTAACTCCCCTCAAACTATCGACGAACCCCTTGATAAGCGAAACGGAAAAACTCTACAAAAATAAATAGGTAATTATTAGCTTTAAAAAATTTGTACCAATGAACAAAGACACTTTTTAATAAGACTCACTGTTATGCTTTCCATTGTTAGGAGTTCCAAAACCAAACACTTTTTAATGTTTTATTTTGTAAGTCATTTTACTTTAAAATTGTGACATTTATTTTAATTTTGACGTAATTTTCAAGTACCGTACAAGATACGTAGGTACAGCATTCATCAGATTTCACGAATGATGACAAATTGACAATGTTGAGTGTTATGACATAATTTTTGACATCAGTTGTTCCATAGATACAATTTCTTCTTCTTGGTTTGTAAGTACGGCAATGGGCTTCTGGGACTTTACACTTTCTCATTCATTTTTGTTTTTGAGGTACCAAAGTTTTGTACAGCCCATTGCTGCCAAAATCTTGTATCATTCATCATCACCATCATAATTGGTTACTCTTGGCAGAGCAGTCGTGTTCATGTGTAATTAAAGCCTTGACAGCTGCTGTTCTCCATAGTTCGTTCTCCACTGAGGCTTGGCGCACGCACTCGTTAAGTGGAGTTTTGGTAAGAATTTTCGTTTGATCAGTCCAGCGCAATTGGTTTCATCCACGAGGTCTTTTAATATTGACCCTACCCTGAACAAGTTTCTCGATAGACTCTGCTGGCCATCGCGAAACGTGTCCAAAGTATCGGGGAATCCGGGTTTGCACTGTTAACAACAATCTTTGAGAAATATTAATTTCTTTTGAGATCGAGGCGTTGTTTTTTTTTTTTGTTGCTTCTAAGTAAATCCATCTATGGATGGACTAGCTTACAGCCCACCTGATGTTAAGTGGTCACTGGAGCCCATAGACATCTACAACGTAAATGCGCCACCCACCTCGAGATATAAGTTCTAAAGTCTCAGTATAGTTACAACAGCTACCCCACCCTTCGAACCGAAACTCATTACTGCTTCACGGCGGAAATAGGCAGGGTGGTGGTACCTACCCGTGTGGACTCCCAAGAGGTCCTACCACCAGCGCGATGCACAGTCCAAGATATGCGGAGCATCCTTCTCCAGCACCACATTTCTAGTGCATTGATCCTACCGTAGGGTCACATAGTTAGCTCTAAACGACCTGCTTGTTCTCGCCCGGGAGAACAAGCAGGTCGTTTAGAGTTATACCCCGCAGGTTGTACTTCTGGGCGAGACCAAGCTCCATCCTTGGGTGACATTCAGGATTCCAAACTATTTCATGTACCGACGCGATAAACTGACCCCTGCCGGGCGCCTATTCAGAAGCACTGCGGCGCTCGTCAGACGGGACGTGGTGTATGATCAGTTGGACTTGCTGGCCTTCACATCGACAAGGTCAGTCGGAGTGTGGCTCGGAGGTTGCCCTCGAGCGTGGGAAGCCGACATGAAGTTGGCGCTGTTTGCCGACGACAGCGCCTACTTCGCGTCATCCAACTTCGCCTTTGCGAACATCTCGAGGATGCAGAGATTATTGGACTTGCTGCCACAATGGTTGGACCGATGGAGGGTTGCGGTCAACGTAAGGAAGACCGCGGCAATCCTCTTCGGTCCGGTCCGTACAAGAGTCGTCTCGGGACAGCTCAGTCTCCGTGGCGTCAATGTCGAGTTTGAATCCAGCTTCCGGTATCTGGGGGTTAATACCGACGACTGGAGTTTGAAGATGACCGCCCACGCCACGTCGGCGTTGGCGGCCGCTCGCCAGGCGAGGTTTCTCCTCCGTCCGGTGGTGTCCTCCAAGCTGCGCGGAAGCCTCACACTAGGTTCGGCCCCCTGCCCGAAAAAAAAAGGACCAAGCTTCGCATTTACAACACGTTTTGTTCGCGTATCACGTACGCAGCTGCCACCTGCTATCATCTCATCCCGCAGTGTATGCGGGAGAGATTGCAGGCCTAGTAAAATCTGGCTCTTCGCGCGATAACAGGAGCAGGGCGTTACGTCAGAAATGTCGTAATAACCCGGGATTACTCCACATCTAGATGTGGAGTCGCTCGAGGAGTTAATCCGGGGGCTAGCTCGTAATCTTTACGAGTGGCCCGACGGTGAACCTCACGAGCATCTCTGCAATATAGCTCCTTTGCACGCCAGACCGCCTGAAGGTCAGGCGCTACCAAGGAAGCTATTGGAACCCCTTCATATGACAAGGTAGTCGGATTAATCGGAATGATATGGGAATGCTCATAACGAGTGCCTCTATGAGACTAAGCTGTCCACTCTCATCGTTTCCCCCACATGTTGGGGTGCCCCTCTATGCGAAACCATTGCACCAGCCCCGTGGGTGGACCACTCTCCCGTCTGGGAAGTGATCCCTCCCCGCTCAGGTGTTCCCCTTCTGGGGAGTCCTGGGTGGGTGAGTTTAACCAACCAAACCAGGTTTTTTTATAAACTAATAATTTTTTTAAATTAATAAATTTAATAATATCGAATATACATAAGATTGTATGAAAAACACTTGTAGGTTAACATTACAAAAAGTTGTTTATAAGGTGTATTTCCTTTGCTTGTTCAAGTGGACCAAACAAAGATAATTTATGAAATCGAGTGAAAGTTTGTTTGTTTGTTTTTTTCATAGAGCATAGAGTTCATACTAATCAAAGAGCTAAGTGATTATAATAATACCATGGAGTTAATAAGTACCTACAACTAACTCTATGAATAATACACAAATGTGAAGGCTCTTTTATAACAGTGAAAATAAGGATATTAAATATTGAATTTAAAGTAAACCAACGCGCTTGAATTATTTAAATAGAGAGTTCTAACTAAAGTATTATGTTCTAGTGTAATAAACATGGATAACGTATATATTCTCAACAATATAGGGTAAGTGAAGTTTGCGAAATGGAATAAACGTTTTTGCTACGTTGCACCATCCAGTTATCGTCATCTTTTGACCTTATAGGCTTTATAATACTGTATAATAATATAAACTATATTTCTTTTCATATATGTAATATTTAGAGTTCTAAACCGAAGACGGAATCCATTCACCTTTTGAAAATTTTGGTGGCCTACTTTTAAACTTCGATTAGATTTTAAAAATTATAATTACAGCTTTGGGCAGTACTTTTAATGTCTGTCCATCAAAATCAACATTAGCAACTTTATTTTGTTTATTGAATAGTTTTGTGTAGAATAACATGTCAAGATCTAGGTCATAAAAAATCTAAATCTATAAATCTATGTCTAGATAGGTATCGATGAAGAAACCAGCTTTTGCCTGGTTACCACCAAAGAATTTTTAAATCTGACTACTTTTTTTTTTTTATTGCTTAGATGGGTGGACGAGCTCACAGCCCAGCTGGTGTTAAGTGGTTACTGGAGCCCATAGACATCTACTACGTAAATGCGCCACCCACCTTGAGATACAAGTTCTAAGGCCTCAGTATAGTTACAACGGCTGCCCCACCCTTCAAACCGAAACGCATTACTGCTTCACGGCAGAAATAGGCAGGGTGGTGGTACCTATCCGCGCGGACTCACAAGTCCTACCACCAGTAAAAACTACTAAACAACTAATGGTTTTTGAGTATCTTATGTATGTATATCTAATTCTTTGGCACACTATACAGCCTAAACTGAAGGTATTGAGGTATTTCAACATATCAAGTGTTACATTGGCCTTTATTGTGTATGGCCATACCTGATCCTGTGGACCGAATGGTAAACAGTTGCCTTAAATACTTCATTACGGTTCTCCCGATCCATTAACTGTGCTTTTAGATACCACAAGCACCAGTCACCGCCCTCGCAGAACTTGTCGCTCGCGAAGGGCTTGACGAGTGAGTTAACCCATAGACACAGCCCACTGAGTTTCTCGGTGAATCTTCTCAGTGGGTCGCGTTTCCGATCCGGTGGTAGATTCTGAGAAGCACTGCTCTTGCTAGGGCCAGTGCTAGCAACACTCTGGTTTAGGCCCCATGAGCTCACATACACGTTAAGGAGAAGCTGAAACAGCCTCTCAAGGCTATCAGCATAGGTAGGAAAAAAATGTTTATGGGACTGGGTATACCATTGCAATAGTATGTATAGGAAAGAGATTAAATTAGTCAGATAACCAAAAAGTAAGAAATTATATAAATTATAAAGTAAAAGAAAGAATCTGACTGCATTAAAAAATCTAATTCAAAAGCAAAAAAATTAAAATGAATATTAATTTCATACAGTAGTACAGTAGAATCTGGTCTGTATTCATGAGCTCATTCAGTAATAAAAAGTAAAAGCATGATAATTTTATTGTTTAGATGTGTAGATGAATTCACTGCCCTGTGATCCTAAGTGTTAAGTGGTTACTGGAGTCCATAGATATCAACAACGTAAATGCCGTCACCCACCTTGAGACATGAAATTGAAAGTCTCAGTTTTAATAGTTCAATGGCTGTCTCACTCTTCAATCTGAAATGTAACATAGGCAGGGTAGTGGTACCTACCGTGTGGACTTACAAGACGCCTTACCACTAGTAATATCCGTTTTGTATCATGATATTGCTTTGTGTTTTCTATTATTTCTACTGAGCTGTTTAGAGTAGGTATCAAAATGAAACTTATTTGTGTAATAATATTTGCAGTAATGAAAAATTCGATTGCGTGAAGGAAATAAAAATTAGTTTATCTATGAATTGAGAATAGTAGAATTAACTCATTGTGATACAAATCTTGAAATTAGTTAATTATGTTTCTAATTCAAATAAGTAATTAAGCTTGGATGTCGTTTTCATGAATCTGATATTATAACTAGAATTTTATAAGAAAAAATAAACACGATTCCAAGAATAGTGTGATAAGTTAAAAGCATAAGCTTAAGCAATAAACAGTATAGCACTTGTAGGGGCTAGAAAACACTTATATATTTTTTTGTTGCTTGGATGGGTATAGGAGCTTACAGCTCAGCTTATGTTAAATGCTTATTGGAGCCCATAGACATCAAAATGTGAATGCTGCCACCCAACTGACATGAGGTTTAAGTCTCAGTTGTAGAGTATAATGCTTGTCCCACCTTTCAAACTGTACCAGCTTTATGCCAGGAATATAGTGGTCTCTAATCCATACTGATCAATACTGCCTACTAGCAGTAAAATAATTAAGTAATGGGTAGATTAGCTCATTCTCTGCCTGATGTAAAGCAGTAAGTATATAATAAATAAGTCATAGACCTCTCCGAACTTTAAAGCATCTTATTCGCCAGTTTTAATTATTGTTCATTTAATATACTAAAATCAGCATAATTACAAGTGTACATAATGTAATATTAAACAAAATAATTTTTTTTAACGAGATAGCCAAGATACGATTTTTATTATTATTTATGACGATCTCTTACTGAAATTGGAATTTTTCTTATAACCAACTGTTCAATGTATTAAAATATTATTATTAATTTTGATAAATTATCAATGATTGATTTCCTATAAGTTGTCATACTGATCATTTCGTGTGTGGTGCAGCGGAATGACCAACACACTTAACGACATCATCAGTCTTCACTCCTGGTGAGCTTCGCTCGTTTCACTCAGTCAGTGCCAGACGCCATTCGAGCTCAGTACACGCACGACCGCGTCGCGTGTAGCTCGCGTCGTTATCGCAATCCATATTAAAATCCTTTGTGTCGTAGTGTAATGACAAACAGTACATTGTGAACGAAAAAAACATGGAACTTGTGGACAAAGATTCGAACCTGGCAGGACCAGTTGACTCTAAGCCGATTCTCTTCGACAGGAAGGGAAGCGTGAAGGTGACGATCACACCGACCCAGCACAAGACCCTCAGTCACCTACCGAAGAGGCAGCCCGTGGATCTGGCATTTACGGACTTGACTTACAAAGTGCAAGAGGGAAGGAAGAGCAGTAAGTAAAAAAATAAAACTTATCATCGCTCAATCTAATTACCATATTAATCTAAAATTTCCATGACTTGTTTCCTCAAATTAGTTTTTGTTTGATACTCAAAAGTTGAAGTATTGAAACTACGTATGTAATTAACGTACGCATTTTAAAGACTTTTGCCAGTCATTTATTTATTGAGCTGTTTCTTGAATTAGGATAATGTTTATATATTAATGGAACGGACGGAATGAAATTCGGTTTTCATACGCTTTTAGAATAATTAATCAAAAAAGTAGAATATGTTAACATGTACAATGTAAGTTGTCTGTGTTTTATTAGGTTTAGGTTCATTAAAAATCACGTTATATCGTGTTCATAATATATGTTTATATAATTAGCTGTAGCATTTTTTGGCAGCAAAGCTGTTATTAAATTTTTAAATTAATCTTTTTTTACAGCTATATTTATGTCTTTGTTAATTAAAATACGTAACGAGATTGGTGTTTGTTGTTCTTAGAATGAGAATTAATTAAGTGGCAGCACTAATGAGTCGCATTGTACCTATGACCTCAAGGCGGATGTTTCCTTGTCGTGTTGCCACAGAATTGATACGATGTTTATCATATTAACTTAGTTCTTGAGCTCCAGTTTGTTGTTTTTCCTGGTAAATAGGCTGATTTTGAATGATCAAATTATTATTACTATCCTTTACTGCATCGATTGCAGCGATATAAATCGTGGAATGGTATTTCGTAAATTCCTGTTAATACCTAATGAGTTTGTAGCGCTGGTAGTCATTTTCAAAAAGGTCTTTATCTAGATTTGTGGGCAATAAAATAGATTTAATAATTTTACGTACGCGCTTAAAATCGCTTCCACAATGATAATTTAAATACAAGCTCCTGATAATGTGTAAATAAACCGGTCGAGCAATTCCGCAATCTTGAATCATTAAAATCCTAGTAACGCAAAAAATGTATGAAACTCTGAATGCCTGGCAGAAGATTGAATGCTTATCGAACAAAATTACCTTGAAATATTTGTTGTTTTTTTTTAAGAGTACGAGACGAGTAAGTCATCAATCACCTAGGATGCCAGTAATCTGCAAAGAGACAGTAACGGCTTTCATTTCAATCACTCAACACAGCTTGACCTTAATTCTTATTTTGTTATTATCCAAAACTTCATGCTATTCCTAAAATCCATTCCAGTGATTCATCTGTGAATAGAGTTGAACGGACTGTTAGTCCAAAATCAGAAGGAAGGTCATACATTTTCTATCATTAATCTGTCTATAATCGACCCTTGTCTCAAACAAAAGGTCCGCTTAAAACCCCCCGTTTACCTTAAATCTATGTTTAAGGACACGGTTGCAGTTGGAATTTTATCCCTCATGTGCATGTATAGAGAGCTATCCTCACTATTATCTTCGTTGTGTAGCGGTTTAAGCAATAAATAACTTCATCTGCCAAAACTATCCTTAATCAATACAAGCAGCTGCCATGCCATTATCACCAGGCTATAATAAATAAAAACCTATATTCTTGCATATCGAAACGTTCGAAACGTTCAAATCACCCAAATTAGAAAACACCCAAATTCAAGAATTCCTACATGAAAGCTATCATAATGGTTAAGGACACTTTCCTTTAAGGGTATTTGCTTGTGGTTTTGAACAAAATCGCCCTTAAAAACACGAAACAACATTGAACGATGTCGCCTTGAAATATATTTTTAATTGGTGTTTTGTTGACAATTAATATATAATCAGGTCCGACCTATTTCCCCTTTAATAAGCTTATTACTCGATGTTTACATAAATAGCGACAGTTGAATCCGTGATCGTTAGATGTATTATCTGAAATGCTATTTAATCTCTCCGATATGAACGTGGAATGCAAGGCCTTTTTGTAGCTGACACGAATTCTATTTGTTTAATATGAACTTATGAAATGACAAATTGTACAAAACGTAAACAACATATAACCGGAGTTGCAATTTGTATAATAAAATAAAACAAATAAAAGCTTAAAGCGTTTTTATGGCTCCATGAAAAGCCTCTTTGCGAACAGAACCGGAATTTTGTGCAAAGGTTGACTTTTGCTCATTCTGTATATCTAGAAATACGGTACCTAAACCTTCTCTTGCAAACCTTTATTTTTGCTACTAACCTGCTATACAGTAAAACTGCTATCCTACCCAAATCAAACCAGAAGAAACCAGAACCAATACTTTAGGCAATAGACACGACTCACAATACCCAATTACACCTATTTCCACACTTTAAACACGCAATACAGGAAAATCTATCCTATCTAAAAGATATTGTTATCTGGTTATTCTAATTTAAATTACTATTATTGTTTTGTTTTTTATAACGGGATGGCCAGTATCATTCCTGTTATGATGTATAATATAATACGGGCTTCTGTGATCGGTACGCTAGTCACTCTATGATTTGTGTCATCATAGATTCACAGGTCGACTTTAATGTCAGCTTGCAACAATTACTGATAAACACGCCGCAATTAGTTTAAATGTTGCAGTTAGTCGATTGCACCTTAACGAAGTAGAAAACTATTAGCACCTTGACAGATCAAGGATGCGGTGTTGGGTGAACCGAGAGACTTTAACAACATTAAAATTATTTGTTTGTAGACATTTTAGCTTAGTGACGGTGTGCTTCAAAAGCACTTGATTAAGAGTAATTAAGGTGCTATTGCTACTCCTGGTTCTCTTATAAATGTGGGTATGGTTATACTAATCAGCACTGGCGTACAATATGCGCCCAATTATAACCCTTAGCTACCGTAATTATGTAATGCAATTTCAGAATACTTAACACAGTTGGAGGTTCAGAATACTTACCACAGAGTGAGTCTTGTGAGTCCGTACGGGTAGGTGCCACCACCCCGCTTATTTCTGCCGTGAAGCAGTAATGCGTTTCGGTTTGAAGGGCGGGGCAGCCGTTGTAACTATACTGGGACCTTAGAACTTATATCTCGAGGTGGGTGGCGCATTTACGTTGTAGATGTCTGAGCTCCAGTAACCACTTAACACCAGGTAGGCTGTGAGCTCGTCCACCCATCTAAGCAATAAAAAAAAGTTGACTATAAGTACATTTTTGAAAGATGATGTGAGGTTTTTAAGAGCGCTAAATACATGAAATAGGCCATCGCAGTTTCGGTTGTGCAATCAACCGTACTACGGTTTCATTAATGAAACAAAGAAACGTTCGAGTCAGGCTAACGGTAGGTGTTCACGTAGTAATTTAGCACTTCCACTTTGGTAATTGTAAATAAACGGTTACGCGTCTCCTTGGCTATAAAATAGTCGTATGTTGGCTCGTCGACTTTGCCTTATTATTGGCCTACAGTTTTTTTTCAAACCCGAATTTCATTTAAGGAAATTATTCGTAATTTTTGCCTTACCTTACGTCACAATATTTGATTGAAGTTTGAAGGGTGACATTCTTCTATGAAATATACCAAGACATGTATCGAAATTACCAAAAATAATATTAGCGGTATCAGTTTGAGTAAGGAAAAAAAATTCGATATATAATTTCGTTGCATGGTCTTAAATAGGATTTAAACCTAATGAATATTAAAGTACGTAATTAATTGGTCTGATGTCCGCTTTTAAAATCGTAGTTTACTGGTGGTAGGACCTCTTGAGAGTCTGCGCGAGTAAGTACCACAACCCTGCCTATTTCTGCCGTGAAGCAGTAATGCGTTTCGGTTTTAAGGGCGGGGCAGCCGTTGTAACTATACTTGAGACCTTAGAACTTATATTTCAAGGTGGGTGGCGGCATTTACGTTGTAGATGTCTATGGGCTCCAGTAACCACTTAACATCAGGTGGGCTGTGAGCTCGTCCACCCATCTAAGCATTAAAAAAAAGCTTCTATACTTCTTCCAACTTGTTGAGTGTGTTCAAATCAATGTTCAAAATTTTGGATTGTCTTATGATGAACCTTAAAAAAGGTTTCGATTCAAGGTGGCGTTTAAGTTGCGACCTCAAGGTCTCGTAAGTCCCCGAGATGGCCGTGAGGTCGTCAACCCACAGCAGTACAAACAACAATGACAATGTGTGGTAAAATCATCGCTGAAATTTCTTTAAAATCATCAGTACCTCGTCTCATTGCCAACACCAGCTTCAATTAAGGAATTCTGACACAACCGTCTCTGTTTGTCGTGAAGCGTTCACAAACAAAAACATTACTTGTACCGAGGTCTCGATTGATGAATAATTTGAAGTATATGATATAAAACGAAATTCACAAGTAGGTACGGATGATTTCACGTTTTCGTATGTGCTTGATAATAACGATAAAGAGTACCTGTTCTTATCAAATACGAAATTAATCCCCATCTCGATGCACAAAAATACTTCATTCTCCACTATGTAAAATCGAAATCTCACCTGCTTTGGAATCTACCTCTCAAACAGGAATTCATTAGTGCTTTTCGGTACATACATTGTTATTATTGGGATTGATTGAGGCATTAAATCTAAATTTGTCGTACCTTATGAATTATCAATCTTATCTTTATGAATATTTTTGCTCATAAGTGCTTCTGTAGGTTTATTTTGATGAGAAGCCACCTTAAAAGGTTACTGACCCAATGTCATATTCACAACAGACGTTGTCGTGTTGTTTTTTCAGCAGAGTTTTATTGAACCTCTGTCCGTACGAAAACTTTAAATACCATTCTTAAGTTGTTAATTTCATTTTAATTACTTACAAACTTATTTCCGTCACTCGAAATGCCATCAGTACTTGATTATTTAAATCTTATTTCCTGTTAAAATGTCAAGGAGGTTTTCGATGTGCATTTCTTATTTCGTCTTTTTTTTTTCGTTCACACATCATATCAGCTACATGAGTTCTCTCAATACACTTCGTACATTTTTCGATTGTCCGGTTTGGAGTAATTTATATTTACTGTGCTCTTTTCTCTGTGGATCATTTCGGGGGGGAATCCGCTTATCAATCAGTCTTTAGTCTCCTGTTCTACAACTGATTTAGGTTCGCCAGTCACACTATTATCATTGCGATCACCGTATTGTCTTGCAATCTTCTATCTCGCTAGCATTTTCACTTCCACTTCAGTATTTTCTGTTGCAGTATCGATCTTGTCAAAATATTTAGGCGCTTTTCCCAATATATCATCCTTATCGCCATTTTAAACAGCTACCATCTGATTTCCCATTTAGCGGCTTAGTTAAGTTAATGACTTAAAACACACGAAGCAGTTGGCGTCACAACTAAAGATGCCAACTGTGTTATATATTAACTCATTTGCATTGAACAAAGGACTTTGCCCTGTGAGTAATGTGAGAACAAAGGGGGCAGCGTCTGTTTGTTTTGTGCGGTGCCCCGATGATTGATAGCGTCGATAAAAGGGTTTTGAAATGCCTGCATTTTACATACGTGTGTTAAGTTATTAATCTTCGAAATGCTTAGCAAACGTAGGGAGGAAAAGGGGGAAATCTGGGCACCTATGTTTAAAAGTGGCATGAAGTCATATGGTTTTTTTTTATTGTTTCGAAAGGTGAACGGCCGAACTCACAGCCCACCTGTTGTTAAGTGGTTACTGGAGCTCATAGACATCTACGACGTAAATGCGCCACCCACCTTGGGATATGAGTTCTAAGGTCTCAGTATAGCTACAGCGGCTGCCTCACTCTTCAAACCGAAACGCATTACTGCTTCACGGCAGAAATAGGCGGGGTGGTGGTACCTACCCGCGCGGACTCACAAGAGGTTCTACCTACCACCAGAAGTAAGGATGAAGACGACGTTTCGTGAATTGGTTTCACTGGTGGTTCGCCGTGTTAATAATTTATTAGACTATTTTTTATTATTTATTTATTTATTAGGCACACAATATACATTAAAAGCTAAAAAAATATACACAATAAATAACAACAAGTAAAAAATCTGGCTTGTAACATAAGCCATGTGCGCACGACCAGACAAGACAAATGTGCTGAGTTTGTAGACAATGTTCCTTACAACTATAGGATAAAACAACACGATAACGGAAAGTGATCTAACTTATAAATTATTATCGAACTTAATGCTGTGTAATAACTGTGGAATTTCGTGCATCATTAAATACTATGTCTGTTTGTTCGTTGCAGCGATGGCCATTAAAAATAATTTAGGGATCACAGACAATAATTTTATATTTTACATTTTACTAGTGAAAATCGACGACACTGATAAATCACACATTGATTACGTGCCAACAAAGAAACACAGACTTAAACAAAAATCCTTGCAAGGGTTCTATTAAAAATGAAAATGAATAATGACATTGTCGCCGGCTCTGAGCACGATTTTTCCGTCTAGGTGCAAAGAAAGAGTAAGTGTTAAAGAAAATATGTGTGTTAAAATTTCTTTAAACTTTGTTTAAAATATTGTGTCAATTTATTAAATACGCTACGTGCACATTAATCTGCATTAGCGGACATAATGCCTCCTAATACATTCCTTATCATTCAAGCGAAGGTGATGCAAAAAGAAAAACGTTGTAGGTAGATTGTTTCTTAATTAAATTTAATCAATAAACAAAAGTTTATTTAATTTGCGAAAACGCGTTAAAACTGCTCGAGTTTCGCTAATGCACAAAAACTTTTTATATATTATTATTATATTTTATCAATCCGTGTTTTCGTTCCATTAGAACAACGATGATGATCGCATTACTGTTGTCCAATGTTCAAGGTTCGTTTCATAATTACGATATCTAGTCGGAAAATTTACAATCGACGGAAACAATAATTTTGATACTATTAAAAATATATATAATATATTTAAGAGAGCTAAAATCGTTGCCCATTTAAATAATTAGAATTACGTCATGTAATTTAAAATATGTGTTTAGTAATGTTTGTTTTACTGTTTAAGTAAATAAAGTATCATTTTTAAGAATCGTTGGTGTTTGAAATAATTCTTTGAATTGAATGTTACGTTTTATTATTCTCCGTCTTCAACGGCAAACTAGCGTCATCTTTCATCTTAGTTTCGTTAGCTTTCATCTTTCACGCTCGTGTGTTGTTGCTGCAGCTCGTGGACATCAGCTATGTCAAGTACACCGACAATACATTGTCTACTGATTTGGTCCGTCATAAAGTATCTGCGAGCCCATAATCGTATTCTCCTTGTTCTTCTTTTTGGAACTCAGCGCGCAATCTGTAATATCGCGCAGAAGACAGGAATGTTTTATTTCAAAACTACATCTATGTTTCTTTAGAAGCTTTGATACTTACCTACCGATTTACAGTTGTTAGGACCTCATGTACGTTCCTCATATACACCTCGATGACCATCATACTATTATTATCTAGACTATACTTAGCTGTGAGTTTCAATAAGTATACTTCAATATGTTTGCTGGCGGTAGGACGTCTTGTGAGTTCGCACGGGTAGGTACCATCACCCTGCCTATTTCTGCCGTGAAGCAGTAATGCGTTTGAAGGGTGAGGCAGTCGTTGGACAGTAAAAATTGAGACCTTAGAAATATTATCTCAAGATAGGTGGCGGCATTTACGTTCTAGATGTCTATGGGCTCCAAGCAATAAAAAAAAACCTATCCCAGGTCAGGGCCTAGCTGAAATAGCCCCCTAGGCTGCCAACGAATACGTAGGGAAAAAAGAATATCTAAGTTGAAAGCTCAAAAAAAACTGTAACTGGATATCTTACAAACGCTTCGTAAATGTGTTGCTACGAAGAACGTACATTACCTAAATCGATACAATAATATTTAGTTAAGTGTGTTATCTTAAGCAAAATAAATAACAAAACCCAGCTGAAATGAATTTAGAGTCGTGCTGATGTATAAACGAAATAATAATATTCTTCGTTATGGGTTTTTATTAACAATATCATCACTTATTCTGTACCATAAAGTTCTAATTTTAAGTTGCAAGCTCTCACGGATGTTTTGTATCAAAGCAGGAATTCTATGTTTTCAAGGGTAGTTTTTTTTTAAAGGGATTTTATGACCTGGTAACTAAGACCTTTTAGGTCAAGTCTTATTTTAATTTTAATGAAAACTTTTTTAATATGAGAAATGATATTATGAAATGAATTTGATTAATATGAAACATGGCAAGAAACGAAATGAAATGAGATTGACGATAAGGGATAAAATATAATCTCAGTAAAATTGTGGTCATTTACTGAGATTTTTTCAGTGGACTTTTGGGAGGATCCCGAGAAGTTACGTCCAGCGGCTTTGTTTCATTTTCTCACATTTGTGCACTTTCACAGATATTAAACAATTAATAAACCACCGTTATTACACATTTAAACCAGAAGAAACACTAAATAGACAAAATAAAACAAATCACACAACTTCACTCCTCGCGTTCCCGCCAAAAAATGCTTTCAAGGGTAGGAAACTATTGTATTACAATTAGCGTTTCTCTATCTACCGATTATTTGAATTATTGAAATCAATGCAGCATTTAAATCATACAGCAGCAAAACTGACAGAAAATATTTTTTAACAGATGTCAAAACGATCCTCAAGTCTGTTTCGGGTCGGCTCCGTTCCGGCGAGCTCACGGCCATCATGGGTCCGTCGGGTGCCGGGAAGTCGACGCTTCTCAACATACTCACAGGATACAAGTAAGTAAATGAAAATTTATATGTAGTCGTGTATAAGAATGGCATCGAAGTACAACGAAATACATTGAAACTAATATTATGAACGCGAAAGTGTGTATATCCTTTTTTCATCTCGAAACGAAGCAACGGATTGAGATGAGTTTTAATCGACTTCAAAAAAGGAGGAGGATCTCAAGTCGAGTGTTTTTTTATTTTAAGTTAAGGTTTTATTTAGGCAAGGAGAATAACATACACGGAAAACTCTTTATTTTTGTCTTTAAAAAAATAATATGACAGCTTAGGAGAATTAATTAGAACTTCTCTTTGACCACTAAGTCGCGGGTAACTACTAGTATATTTATAATAAGGTCATCGATAAAGTAGCCCTGGTACTTAACAAATTAAAGAGCGGACGGTTAGCGTGGTATGAAGAGGAGATGCATGTGAATAGGAGATGAATGGAAATGGTAGTGCAAGGTAGAGGGGGAAGAGGTCGACCGAAGAAGACATGGATGGTGTGTGTGAAAGACGATATGAGAGAGAGAGATTTTTTTTTTTTTTTTTTTTTTTNGACGAGCGCACAGCCCACCTGATGTTAAGTGGTTACTGGAGCCCATAGACATCTACAACGTAGACGCGCCACCCACCTTGAGATACAAGTTCTAAAGTCTCAGTATAGTTACAACGGCTACCCCACCCTTCAAACCGAAACGCATTACTGCTTCACGGCAGAAATAAGCAGGGCGGTGGTACCTATCCGCGCGGACTCACAAGAGGTCCTACCACCAGTAATTACGCAAATTATAATTTTGCGGGTTTGATTTTTATTACACGATGTTATTCCTTCACCGTGGAAGTCAATCGTGAACATTTGTTGAGTACATATTTCATTAGAAAAATTGGTACCCGCCTGCGGGATTCGAACACCGGTGCATCGCTTCAACACGAATGCACCGGACGTCTTATCCTTTAGGCCACGACGACTTCGACTTCAGAGATGAGTGGGTGTTGATGAGAGATGGCTGATAGAAGAGAATGGAAGTGAAAAATTAGTTGTGCCGACCCCACCTAGTGGGATAAGGTGGAGAAAAAGAAGAAAGTCATCGATAGTTATAAAAAGGACAATAAAGGGCAGATATTGCACAGAGAGGCTACTGTGCAGTAGACTTACTATCGGAATACTGTTCGCTACTTGTGTATAAGAAAAAATATCTTGAATTTTTCGTTAGCGTGATCCAAGTTTTTTTCCGGATTCCTTCTGGTCTCTATGCATACGGCCCACCTGATGGTGAGTGGTTACCGTCGCCCATGGACTTCAGCAATGCCAGGGGCAGAGCCAAGCCGCTGCCTACCGCTTAATAGTCTCCACAAGCCTCGTTTGAAGAAGGACATGTCATGGCGCTCGGGAAACACCGTGGTGGAACGAGCTCATTCCATAGCCGGATATGATAACTACCGTTACATAAATGTTGAATAATATGGTGAATCAATCGAGAAACCTTCTCGTTTGAATGATCACCAAATGTGAAATGTTACAAATAAACAAAATTTCGGACATCTTTTTTGGTCACAAGAAAAAAATCATCGTTCACAAGTTAAAGTAATTTTTGCTTTAAACTAGTTAGAGAATATAGTTTTTCTATGCTCAAATGCATCCATCGGGACAGGCGAGAGAGTATTTTTACTAATAATAAACCGAGAAATTCCATTAAAAAATACAATGTTCTCGAAAATGATCTACATATAAATGTTATGTTTCTAAGGAAACAATGTTTTTTCTTGCCATACCTTAAACCACTAACTAACCTTGGACGATCTTGTTAAACACCACATAAAATAAAAATAACAATACAATTGTTTTCTCACATTTATCTACAAATTTTTCGATTTGAAATCCGTATTCAATTTGTCTACTTCATAATTATCAGATCGCGTATAGTTCTATATCAGAATGTTTGTGACGTATTAGGTTGTGTAGGATAAATAAGTTTTCATGGCCCGATGAAAGAACAATGGCAACTTTTTACCTGAATGTTTTAAAAGGCGTCTTAGATTAAGACATAAACGAAACTTCATAATTTTATTTGCTCGTTTTTTATACGATGTTAGATTTACGTGGCAAAGTCACGAAAAAATGTTAATTTAATAAGCTTTTAATTCGATTTTTGTGTACTTCCGATTTAATACATTTGTAAAGGATGGCATTTATACTATTGGCACAAAAAAGCAATATTTTTTGATAATGAATAATATTCATAAAGTATTTAAAATGAAAATAGTAATATTAATTATCCTTTGTTACAATTAGTACTTAATTAAATAACTAAATATGTATTACTAATGGCAGCACTGCAGATGACAATGATTTTAACAGTATGACAACTGACATATATCAGGTAAAATGTTGTATAGAAAGCTGCCATTGTTCGAGTAGCTTCTGAGGCTCGGGACGACACCCGGGTGACTTGTCCGCCAACGTAAGCGGCAGCGGTTTGGCCCATGCCGAAATAGTGGGTAGTGCCAGTATGAAGGCAGGCTTCGTCTTCGGCACTAGGTGTCGGGGGTTTTGAGGGCAGTGCAATTGATTTTATTTTTTATTGCTCAGATGGGTGGACGAGCTCAAAGCCCACCTGGTGTTAAGTGGTTACCGGAGCCCATATACATCTACAACGTAAATGCGCCACCCACCTTGAGATATAAGTTCTAAGGTCTCAGCATAGTTACAACGACTGCCCCACCCTTCGAACCGAAACGGATTACTGCTTCACGGCGCAAATAGGTAGGGTGGTGGTACCTACCCGTGCGGACTTACAAGAGGTCCTACCACCAGTAAAAACTTAGTATTGCTGAGCCCATAGATATTTCGCTCTGGATAACTATTTCCCATCTTGTTAGGCCATCACGCTCGGAGAGTATGTAATGCGTGCTCCCGACACGCTATTATACTCAATGATAAAATCAGAGTTATGTAATCACTTGGATTCTGTCGTGTTAAGGGTTTTCCTTATTAATAAGGATAAATAGGTTTCACATGCATCTGTATAGCACACAATATTAGTTGACGCCGGCAATTGTTTTGTGCGTGATAACCCAATCGTACATTAACCATTATGTCCATTGTCCTGTTAAAAGATAATTGCTGTTTACATCAAGGGCAACAACACGTGCTTACGAAACTTAGCATCGCTTAGTTTTACGAAAGTTATTTGTTTAAGGGCCCATCCAAATCAATTTAATGATTCCATAAATGCCCTGATAAGCGACTTATTTATGTTTAAAAAAAAATACGACTAATAGGGTAAAGCCGAGATAGATGCCCCACTTTTTGAAATAGTCGTGTAATTTTAAAAATATTAATTTTATACGAATAATTTCTATTAATGTAGTTAGCTCAATCCTTTATGTTTAATTAGTATACATTTTTTTTAACCTATCAAATACAGATTTTGCAGAAATTCGTTTTTCGTAGAACCTTTTTTTGGAGGATAGATGACTACCTNCACCCGAATGAATTTCGTATCTTATGTAACCTACTCATCGGCACAACAAGCTTGTGTTTGTTCCTAGTATTTCTATTATGTATGTCCGACTTTTTAGGAAACTCCTCAATATGTTTACGAACATACATCAAATTTTCAAAAATGTACTGGGATGGCATAGTGAGAACTTTAATTTCTTTAAATTTCTCCCTCAGGGATTCTACGTCACTTCCGCAACTAAAGCGGATCTAAAGATACCTCAAATGTTGAGATTCTTCAAAAGGCTTAGGCTGTAAAATGTGCTAAAGAATTAGACATACATACGCACGAAAGCAGTACTCTCCATCTTTAGTCGTAAAAACAGGATCAAAATTACTTTTAATATAACTTGTCGGATGATATTTTAATATCGCAAAAAGAAGAGTGCACTGTAGGACGTAATATCATTATCTCTCTGAGTCTGAGATGCCACATCGCTAGCAGTGACGTCATAATCCGTTTTCTCCATAACTCTCAAATGCCTTAGATTAACTGCTCACTTGTTTAGCTAACCTAAAACTGGTTAATGCAATACTAGCTCTACAAGGACCTATCACATTTTAAGTGTGCTTCAATATGTGATATTATATGGTCTACAGTCAAACCTGGATAAGCGAGAGTTCAAGGGAGCACAATCTCATTCTCGCTTATAGAGGTTTCTCACTAACCCGAGTTTCTCGCTAATGCACCCTCTGAATTTAATTTCGCGATTTCCCAGATTCAAACGCATTCACTATTTTAAGTTTATCACTTAATGGCAGTACTTTGATTTTCCGTTTTAACATGATGCAGAACAGAACTTTCCTTCGCAATTGATTAACGATAAACCGAGTAAGTCCGACAAACAGGACGGTACACAGGGACACGTGTCCATTCGAAAAGAAATCGAATAAATAACAACGTTATTTAGTTCCACGAAATAGAATAGGTTCAATATTGATGAGAAAACAATTCAAAAACAATGGTAGGAAGTTCCACAAAAGTTAAGAATGAGTCATAAAATAGCAGATGTTAAATTTGTAATTTGTTTTTTCACTCGTTCCGCCTAAATAATATAAATAAATAAAGCTCGACTGTCGCTTTTAGAGGTATAGATATGTAGCAGTCTCACTCACGGAGGTCCATGAGGGATAAACGACTCTCTCTTACAGAGGTTTCTGTTTCTCGCTAATAGAGGTTTTAGGAGCTAAAAATGACGGGTCCTGGCTATTACTCTCACTTATAAGAGTTTTCTCACTTATCCAGTTCTCACTTATCCAGGTTTGACTGTATATGATAAGTACTGTTACGCCGGTAAAAGTAACGCCATCTATCGCCGAACAGTCGAAGAGATATCGAAGGATCTAGTAGCATCTAGAACGCTCGTGAAGTACAACGCCATCTATCGTCAGATAGTGGAAACACAATACTCGACTTTTGTGGAATATTCTCGATGATTATAGGGATTTCGTCTCGACTTTAAAAGCGTTGCAGAGATGGCACGCAGTCAGTTAACAATCGGAA